AGTTTTGGGGTCTTCAGAGGATGTCATCCATAAAATTAAATCAGTGTGGCCTAAATATGTTTTTAAGCAAGGCCCTCGTTTTTTGCCTTTCATTGTGAAATGTGTTAATTAATATAAACAAAATATTTCATCGTTTCAATTTCGCAACACTTCTGTGTGGTCAAAATACGGAAAATAATGAACAATTATTAAACAATACTGATATTTATCCTATTCTCAACATTTATTGACAAGAGTATTTTGGATTTCATATAGTTATCTGCGGACCCTGCTGCAAACCTGGTTGTGCATTTGCTTGAGTATGTAAATTGTGCACATGCACATGCATCTTGTCAGCTGCTCTTGCAACACAAGTTTAAATTTCGTCATGGTTTTCTGCATTTTCATTGACAATATTGTTTTGATTGCGGTAGTAATTGAGCTTATCAAACCTGTCCAACATTTCGCATTTTGATGTCCAAATGTGAACCAAATTCGGCAACCAGCATGGTATGCTTGCCTGGTTCGTCCTAGCAAATACACTTTTTCTAGTGTTGTTGGTTCTAGCTATGTACAGATGCCATTGGAGTGGAATGTTGGTGTGATTTGCATAAACTGAGGGGCATATTATTACATGACCAGCTAGCCTCCAATCAGCTTGGCGTATTTGAATATGCGACAATATGACAATATTATATACCAGTAGCCAAAAACATGAAAAAAACAGCCTCTCACAGTAATCCACGGTTCCATAGAAAATATTACAACAACAAACTCAGAAAGCCCAGGTTTTCAACTGATGACTTAATATAACATAATGATAGACACTTGCCTACTAATATTCCAATACTGAAATAAAGAAAATAAATGCTGGTAGCAAATGAGCTTATGATGTAGCCAGCTGACGACAGAACGCCACCAAATAAAACCACAGAACGACAACCAAATTTCTTAGCTGCTATGTTGGCTACTGGACCTGTGGGGAAAAACAATAAATAGGATAAGACAAACGTTATTATAGCTGAATAGAGATAATAAAATGCATTTTTTTCGAGTGGAAAAATGTAATAAATTAAAAAAATAAAATCTCTGGCTAAAAATAACAAATAGGCTGTTTTAATAAAAAAGATGGTCTGATTTAACGATATATATGTAGTCTTCATTTTATTTTTTCGTGAGGTTTTTTTAACATTTCAAAATTTTTAACATGAACAAATTTATTTCTATGTATAATATACATTCTGGGGAAAAAAAGTCAGTTCATCTTCCAATTGGTTAGCGTGATTGCATTTTTGTTTGTTTGTTAAACAAAGTTTTCACCTCTAATGCTACCTTGTTCAATTTGTAGCCTGTGTATAAACATTCAATAATTCAATGCATATACTTCAGGCTACTACCTTCAAAGGGATGCAGGGCACAAAATGTTAATTCAAAGAATTTTTTCAATATTTCTATCAGAGATAGGGGGAGAGAGAGAAAAAAAAGAGAGATAGGGTCAATATCAATAAAAATCAAAGGAAGCTGAGAAACAACTCCTGTGTTTAATTTCATTATTATGAAAATTAGATATTTAATATTCAGAAATCAACCAAGAACTACCCAGGTTTGTTATCTCAGTCAGGTTGGTTGATTATCCCAAAAGCACATATTGAAATCAGATCTGAGGTACTTATATCTGTGGAAGAGCCAAACATTTACTAATTTATGTAAATTAGTACATGTAATTGATATGCACAGATTCAACTACGGTCATGACTGTGGATTATCCATCCCTGTCCCCGAAGAATTATCAGGGAATGGACATTTCGGTCTTTATAATATATTCTCCGACCCCAGTCAACTTTACCCCAAGTCAACTCGACCCCGTATTAGTGTAGGTATATTGTCGGTGACACACTGCGTGCCACACAAGGCAATGACACTTATATGAACCACAGAAAAGGTCGCGGAAATAATATTTGCGTCTGCAAATTTGACAGGTGTTCTGTTCTGACTACCCGTTTGGGCCTCGGGTAGATAAGATACGCACAAGCCCTGAAGGACGATCGACACGTGCTTTATACGTAGCCATGGGGTTCCATACATGCACGGTTACTAAAACCGTGATGCATACCATGGGAGAACAGAGAGATGGCCAGCCAAGATTCGGCCGTCGTCTCAACATCATTTATATTGACGTATAGGAACGACCAAGAATGGCCTGGCATCAGCGAAATGTGCGAATCGGACGATGAGGATAAACCGAAACAAAAAACAAATCGAGGCCTGCATGCATTAACCCTATCGTTTATTACGTACCTGTTGTCAGGGTGAAGAAAGACACCAATGAACTTATCCAAGACGTCTCCCCGGCACCTACGTTGAAATAAATGCGAAATTGCACAAAAAATGGACCAACCGAAGCGTTGACTGCCAGACAGAAAAACAACACCACATGACATCCACATACAACAAACCATCCATAACCTCCATCTTGAACTTCCTGGTTCTTGCGGTTCATGGCAGTTAACTGATATAAACGGTCTGTACCGTATGGGTTGAGCTATTAGTCTGTCGTCATTGATTGAGACTAGACTCGACCACTTGATTTATAGACCGCAGAAGAGATTTACCGACGACTGCTCTGACGTATGACCTATATCACAGTCCCTCTATAGAGGGACTGTGCCTATATATACTTTACTAAGGGTCGAAGCTAAAAATCTAGGGGGATGAGAGAGGTGTGATGCGTGGTTTTGCACGTCTTTCTTCTGCATTTCGCTTACGCATATACCCCTCCCCTCCACTGTATGTAATGGTGTGCAGATCGACCGCCAACAATTATACAAGTTTCCCCAGAAGTAGCGAGACTCGGATGCAAGCAAGAAGACCACCGTTGATATAGTGTAAAATAAAAAATAAATAAAAGAAAGCTTAGAAAGAACTCCCGTGTGCTGAGAGTATTGAAGACACATTAAAAATTAATTCAAAATTACCTGTACATGAGATATTGATAGAAAAGCTGAAAACTAATTATGTACATCAGGTAACTAATATGAACAGAACAGAACAAAATAATTATGAATTATTATGCTAATTAGAGAATTAATATGAACAAATTTTAACCCAAAATTAATCAGGCCTGTCTATTGTCCTAGAGCATTTATGTACCAAATTTT